CGGTACACTTCCAGCGGCAAGGGTAAATCTTCACATTTGTTAAGCATCATCCCCCCCCCCCCCCCTCCCCATACACAGTGATGCCTTGACGACTACCGCACTGAGTGTATGCACAAGAGAGATAAAATTAGTATTTTCATACAACTGAGATTTCCTAGAGTAAGGGTATGTCAATATGAAGAATACCTTTCCAAATAATCTGAAAATACGGTCTCAACTGATTCATTAAGGTCGCGCATTGAGGCTCGCGATGACTAGTAATACCCATGTCGCGGCCCTCATCGTAGTTTTTCATGACTCTACCCGTTCTATAGCCGCCTTCATAATCACACTAATCTGTGAAAAAAAACGATTTCCATCTACTGCACTATCGTGGAGTAAGTATCATAGTTTTGAGCACCATCACAAGGTCTAATAATGCCGGTTGGGCCATCAGCAACCTACGATGATCACCGGTTTGTACTATTACGCGACCATGTTGAGGTTCAGGACCACTACTAATGGTAATACATTCACCATCACCATAGGTTTTCATGGCGCTAGCCGTTCTATAACTGGTTTGATCATCCCGCTCATGTGTGAAAAAAAAACGATTTTCATCTACTGTAGTATCGTGAAGTCAGCATTATAGTTTTGACCATCATGACGAGAACTAATTATACCGGTTAGGACCTCAGAAACCTATGGTGACGACCGGTTTCTAGCATTACTCGAACCAATTAAATTTCAGGGTGACTAGTAATGGCCACGTCGCGGCCATCACCGCAGGTTTTCATTGTGCTAGCGGCTCTATAACTGATTTTATCACCACGCCCATGTATGATAGAAACGATTTCCATCTATGGTTGTATTGTACAGTCAGAATTCTAGTTTTGAGCACCACCAAAAGCACTTATGATGCCGGTAGAAGATCAGGAACCTACGGTGACAACCGATTTCTAGTATTATTCAAACGCCTTCATGTGAATGGTGACTAGTAATGGTCATGCATCGACCGTCACGTGAGTTTTCACGGTGCTACGGATTCTATAAGTGGTTGTATCATCATAGTTATGTGTATAGAGCATTTAGATCTACCATAGTATCGTACAGTCACTATTATGGTTTCCAGCATCACCGCAAGGACTAATTATGCCTGTTAGAGCATCAAGAAGCTACGGTGATGGTTGGTTTCTAGTATTATTCCAACGGTTTGGAGCTCAGAATAAGTAGTGGTGTCCGTCTAGCGGTCTTCACCGTATGTTTTAATGACTCTACCGGTTTTATAGCGGACTGTATGTCCACAGTCATATTTGAAAACAAATTTTTCATGTGTGACAGCATGGTACACTCAGTTGTATAGTTTTGAGCATTCCCAGGAAGACTAATACCGTCGATTGATACATCAGGAACCTACGGTGATGGTCAGTTTCTGCCAATATTTGGATGCGTTGATGATCGGGGTAATCAGTAATGTCAATCTTGCAGTCATCATCGTAAGTTTCCATGTTTCTACCGGCCTTTTTGTTAACCTGATCCTTACCGTCAGGTATGAAGGATATGTTTCATTTGTCCTAGCGTCGTATTATGTGGAAAAAAGCTTCGACTACCACTGTTAAAGTCGATACTCTCAATTTGGAACCATGGAGACCTACGGTGCTCACTGATTTCTACCATTATTCAGACAGCTTCGGGCTCAATGTATCCGGTGGTGCAGATACACTAGTCTCCGCTGTAGGTTTCTGTACTCTTACCGGTTTGATCCTCCGGCATATCCCAAATTTCTGACGAGCATTTACAAAGATCACATTATTAGAACAAGGGTTCACTTCTCACCGGAAAATCAAGTGCTCGAGTTTCTGGGATGTACCGCGTACCACAGACAGAGGACTACAATAAAAAATGACCGGTGCACCGTCTACCACTCTCATCGTCCCACCGGTTCACCGGTGCCATCAGTACTATGGTGGACCGCTGAGCGGTGCACCGTCACCGGTGCATCCCTAATCAGGAAGTTTCAAGCCGTATCTCAAGCGTTAAGAATGAAGTCGAAGCGAGTCTAGTCTCACAAACATGGATGACAGTTAACGCATGGAGGCTCTGATCACACACACAGATCTAGCAGGATGTCAGCGCAAAGTTTCAAGCAATACGGGAAATCATGCGAATAAGAGCATTATTTAGGTCAAATAAGGGTTCGTAAGACGGGCGACCAGCTAATTCATCGTAGGACAATTCGTCACATGAATAATTCATTGCAAGACTATAATTCAATTATAAAATTGTCCTGCGGTGAATTGCCCGGCGACGAATTGCCCTAGCACACGTAAGACGGCCTGTGAGAACATTCAGCTTACCAAATTATGTCTTTAGGTCAAGACGAATAGTGTTAGATGGCACAATATTCTGTGTGCAAGAAAAGTAAAAAAAAATGCGGGTCACTCATCGATAGAGTGTAGGTGTTAACAGGTGAAGAGAGAATCTACATCCTCACCCATACCACACCCCACACCAGCAGTGTCACATATCCAAGATTTTGGAGATGCCACCACATCTCCTGCGGGAGATGCCGCATCTCGCGCGAGAGATGCGAGTGTGGGTGTGGGGGATGCGTCTCTCTAAAGGAGATCTTACATCTCCAGTGGTGAATGACCTCATCTCCCGAGTGTGGGTGCCGCGTCTCCCGCTGGAGATGCGGCATCTCCTGCGGGAGATGCGGTGGCATCTCCAAAATCTTGGATATGTGACACTACTCGGTCGAAAATAGTTCGATTACAGTATGTTTTTGAAAAATAAAATCTATGTTTTGTAGATTATCAACTTTGAAATGGATAGCAAGAATGATGATAAATCAATGTCTCTTCGTGTCACCGATTTCAGTTCATTACCAAAGCGAATGCTAACACCCATTGAAGGCTACGAAAAGACGCCACTTGTAACAATTGAAGATGCAGTAAAACCTCTCGTTAGCATCGTACCAAAAGTCGAACGTAATGTACACATCGTCAAACAGAACTGTAAAAACCCAGCAGATGGTTTAACAACTGATGAATCTGCTTCGATTATGCTCTATACGTACGAATCGAAGCCACATGAACAGTCTCTCTATGTTATTCTCAACGAAACATTACGTTCGGAAGAAAGACAGAAACTAATCCCTTGGTTTCAGTATTTACGACTTGTATTGACAGCATTGGCTCGCCTACCATCCGAACGACTTTTCGTTAATAGAGGAATCCGAAAAGATTTACACGAAGAATATCCGGCAGGTAGCACTTTTATTTGGTGGGGATTTTCATCGTGTACCTCATCCATCAAGGTGTTGGAATCTGGGATGTTCTTAGGCAAAACTGGAACCCGTACTTTATTTCAAATCGATTGTCATACGGGAAAGAAGATTAAAAATCATTCATTTTTGCCTAAGGAAGATGAAATTCTTTTGCTTCCTGCCAGGCAATTTGAAGTTACATCCTGTCTTAATTCTGGTAATGGACTTCATATAATTTCACTCAAAGAAATAGATCCGAAACATCCATTACTTGAACCCATCCCCGTGCCTCCAATGACAACTTCAGGTAATTATTCATTATGAATAGGAGAAAGCGCATATCAGAACCGAGAACAGATTAATTAGTTGCTATTCAACTTTGAGTAAATGAACGAGTGAATAGATGAAAACAAGGTTCCCATCCATCCTTCTATCAGAAATTTCTCCACACCTACGATTTTCCAAATTCATTTTGATTCCGCTTTTGTTTCTTATGTAAATGCATGACATAGAAAGAGATGAATGTGCTTGTACTTGCATGCGAAATGGTGCGATTATTTACTAAGTTTTAGTCATAAGATAGTTCTGTTGGCAATGTTTCTCCATAAGTATGAACATTGATTGGATACTATCCCACTCTGTATTGTGCGTGAATATATGAATAGTGTATTCAAGTCTTTATAAAGCTATTCGTAGGCAAAAGAAATGATCGTCGGTATCTCCAGAAAGACAAGAAGAGAAAGGAAATACTTACATATTTTTGAAATTTTTCTTTTGTCAAGCTCATGTTCTTGTAGCTGAACTGATTGACAGATTTTGAGTATCGTACGAAACTATGAAAATAAAACATCATTTTAACTTATATGAAAACGCCGTCAGCTCGAAATGTAACACATTATATTTTTCGTATCTTGTTCAATTTTTTTTGTGAAATCACTTATGATTGTAGCTGAAAACCAGCGATTCTCAGCTAACAAGTAACCGTGTTTTTTGAAGAAGTAATGTAATAGTCTCTTTTGTTAATGATATTTTAGTGCTTTATCGTATGAAATCTTTTGGGAATTGAGTTGAATGAGATGGGTGCAAGTGTAAGTGATATCGTTTCCGTGAGTAACATTGATTCCCACACTCAACTGTAGGCTTGGTTTAAATGCTAAAAATTATCAAAATCAGTTTTACAATAGAACAAATATGTGAGTTTCAAGTGCGATTAATATAATTAATTATATTAATTGCTTAAACCACTGTTAGAAAATCCATATCTTTCAAAAAACACTCGAAATTGACTTTTTATCTTAGGAAGATGCAGTGAAGTTTTCTCTTTCAGAATATATATATCTATTTGGAGAATGGTCAAATTTTAACAGACTCTTGAACCAAATTTTGACCTTGCCATAGTATTTTTTTCAGAAAATTTCGAAGTTTCAAAATAAGCATTCAGTTTTGGAAACATTACCTTTTATTTGTATCAGTATTGAATAAATCATTATATTTATTAAAGCACGATCGCTGGTGGTAGCTTACATCATTTGTTACACGCTTGAAAAAATCCCACGGACAAGTAGAATATGACTTTTGAATATGTTTTTTTTCTTGGATTTGAATGAAAATAATTAATTTCTAAACTTTTGTATTCTGTTTCTCAGAACATGATTTTTCATCGCCAAAATTGAAACTTCTTCCATCCGGTTTAGCATATCACAAATATTGTTTTCGTTTTAAAGATCTAAATGACAGTGAACTTATGCTCGATTGGATTTTTAGCGATTGATTTGCATGTTGAGAAAAACTAGATATATTGCTGTGATGTCACTTTTTTGGCTTATACAATGAACAGAAGATTTTTTCGAAATTCTTTAATAAAAAACTGGACACTAATCTTGAATCTAGTTCAAAACGACTCGAGATGTTCTCCATCACTTCTATTAGAGTAGTCATAAGTATTCTCCTGAAGACTGTAAATGGGCCATAAATAAGCTGCAAATTTCGTTTCGTAAGTGGTAAATCTATTGTGAGGAGGGCCAATAGACCAGCCATATCTCTCGTCTACAAGCAATGTTCTGTGGCGCATAGACTACATTAATTATCGCAATATGAAAAACAGGTAATCTTATGGACTTTGTGCCATTTTCTAAAGGCAAACATTTTGTCGAATTTGACCATTCGGTGTGTTACCACGCAGTAGAAAATACTCGGTGAATGGATAGAAAAAAGTTTTGATATCTAAGATTGAGAGGTTCATTTTGAAAGTTTAAGCATCAAAACATATTTTCTTTTCGTTCAAAAGATATTTTCGACTGCGTGCTAATTTACTAGATGGTCAATATCGAAAAAACCTTTCACTCGGAAATATAATTCACTTTTCATGGATTTACCCGCAAAAAAAATGCAGCATAAGACATCGAGTTATGCATAATGATCGTTATTGAGTTCAAATACCTTACAACATATTTTGTTTGTTTGACTCAACAAGCAAATTAACTTATCTCATATTGATTTTATTTCAATTTCGACAATCTCGATTGATCGAAACTTAAAGTAACATCAGTTATTTGCTCTGAAGTGCTGCAATAATTATCGAAGTAACCTTCGAATTCTATTGGGAAAAATCTTTGTAAATAAAATTTCCTTCAAAGCCAGGTTGAAACATGAACAACTGGCCCGTTTATGACTCTGCTGCATTCTACTAATAATGAGCAGTAAAAATCACATGTTTTAATCATTCTAATATTTTATGTGCGTGAAGGTGTGGTTCTTGAAGGCTGTCTAAGATCTCAAAAAGCTGCATTTTACCTAATGTTAATTACAGAGAGCAAGAAGAACTTAAGTAATGAATAGAAGGCACGCGATATTTACGTTAAATTACCTTACAATATATTTCACTTTTTTATATCTTAGAACATCAGTCTATTTGTGACACAGACTTAAGGTTTATTTTCTTAACATGGAACGTAGCGTTCTACCACAAGAAAGACCTTTCTTTTTTCAATAGAGCATATTAGATACAATATCACTATAGCATATTGTAGCGAGATGATGATCTAAAACAAAGTTCAATCATTTGTCTGACACTCCTGCTTCAAGAAAATTGATGAATAGATTTCTTTTGAGATGAACATGAATTATTAACTTTCAAGTGTATGTTAGCAAAAAAAGAATCTATTATTCTATTTAAAACAATACCATGGAAGACTTGCATTGTTTAAGTTTTAACGGGTACTCAATCAAATTTTCTTTAGAGACAATAGTTAAAACTTCGATCATGTGATGTTTTCTTTAGATTAAATCGATTCAAACTGAAAAGTTCTTAAATGAAGCTGAATCAATTATTTTAAAAGGTTGAAATACATAGAGAAGTTCAGTTCTGTTCTGCTGAAAAGGAAAGCATGAATTCTACTTTCTGTTTTCTATTCAGAATCTTGCATTTTGCTATGCAGCACCATCATAGTTTGCGTACTTCAGTGTAGTCTTATCATGAAATTATGTGGTTTTTTCTAATATACAATAAAATATTCTTGTTCACTAATCTTTACTTAAAAGTCGAATATTAATTTCAGTTTTTTTTGAAGCACGAAAGTCACAGTTACGGTTGAAACTGGTATTAGGACGTCATCATGCTACAATACATCGTTGATATTAGTTCTCATGATTAGTCAATTTTTTTATTGAATAACTTTATATTTTGTATTTGTCCAAGATGTTTATCACATTGTCTTCAGACGAACTTGATTATAAAGGTTGAAAACCAAGTTTACCTCTAAGAAGATGGCATATATTTCAGAGACCCATCCAAATATCACAACTTTGTATGTTAGTGAGAGACTTCATAAATAGTCGTTCGATTATCAAAAGTTCTTCGCTTAAGAGTAAAAGAATTTCTTTTATCCTATTCATGCATATCTACAGATATGATCAATCTATGATCCGAGACAAAAGAAGACAGCAGTACCGAGAAACTGTATCTATATGTGCTTTATGAATGATGAGGTGACCAAATACACCGGACGAAAGATTCATATGCTAATATAAGTGGTTTAGATCGGTTTTTTTTGGTGATTAAAGTTCAAGTAGTATTTTCCGTTGAAAAACTGTTTTTACTCAGAAGAGATACATTGAAATAATTGATTAACATTTTAATTATCAATAGAAATTTTCAAAATTTTGCAGAGTTGATATTTTAAATAATTATGAGACTCAGGTTTCATAATTAGTACGAATATGAGATTTACCACTTCTTGTTGGTCTTTCAACAATCAGTTTGAAAATTAGTAAAAATTATTCAATATGAAATAAAGTTTGCAAGCCAGGAATATGAGAAGAATAAAGTTAATTATATTACTGAAATAATTAAAAACTTTTAAAAATGAAACGTTCGCAAAAAAGAACTTACTTGACAAAGTTCTGCGTTTTCCAGTTATCGTTTGTGCCCTGTATCAAAGAACGATCAAATACGTCTTCATGCATAGAAATACACAATTTTCTAAAGAATTGAATAGTGAATTTTCTTATGAGAAAACTTTGTTGTGAAATGATTAAAACATGCATAGATACTTAGAAAAACTCTATGATTGTCATTTATTTTAGTCTCCCTCTGTTTATTGTTTTCTCGTCATTCTACTTCCAAAAATTCAAGTTATAGCTCTACATGAAATAGTTATAATTTAGCACATGAAATATTATTATAAGAAGCTGTAATCAGAGTAGCGGTCATGCTATATTTGCATTTGAGGATTAGATGTTTCTCCGCCATGCACTTTATTGTGCTGTCGGATATCTGCCCCGCACTTTTTATCAACGATATTTATTTTGAATAATACACTCAAATAATTTGGTCACTAGGCGGTCGTTTCCACTTGCATATAAATAATTAAAATTGTATTGTTATTTCCGGTCATTGATCATGACAAATTTAAATCAGTGTGGAAAATTCTTAGAAAACAAATGATGAACATTAGTGTCAGTAAAATGTCTGTGCAACTCCAGAATCGCACTACAGTTCTATATTAGTTCTAGTCTTGAGTACTATCTCAACAGTTCTTTCGAAATGAGCTGATCGGTTTTAAAAGTTATTTTGAGCAGTGAACAGAGATGACGTCGACTTGACTACAATCTGAACCATACTGAGTCAAACCAAATTCAATTCGGTTATACAAAACATGAACCGATCGCGTCTCTGAGAGTTCACCTGAATTTAGGGCCTTCGACTATCACAGATCTAAAAAAACGTCGAGTTTTCAAAAAAAGAATAGTTTCATAGAACAGGAAGCTCTCGTAGATATGTCACATCGTACTATATGAGTCAACTATGTAAATAAATTTCATATTTGATTCTTAGAAGCCAAAAACCACTTGAGTTACGCTTTGTAAGACTTTTTAGATTTTCTCTCATTGTTAAAAATGATTCTGATAGAGGTGAGAAATTAATCAGATGTAAAGAGATGCAGCCATCCTCCAGAAACTGAGAATTTCAAGGAAATCGATTAGGAGTCAATATTATCTCCCTCATTACAGAGTGTCTTGAATATCTTGAATTCTGGCTCAAGTTCTATTGAACTTCCAGTTTTGAAATGATGAGTACTCCTAAATGAATGACAAAACTTACAGTCGAAAGTTGAGTTACAGTAGAAGAAAAAAAACGAAATGTCAATCATTATCTATGGTAAGAAGAGTGGCTTTCCATTCTGTTCAAAATATACTTCGATTTTCATAAAACAATAACAGATTTGCTTACAGTCTTTAACCAACATGAGTAGTATATTGGCTCGCTTTTACTTTCAAATAATGCAGATTCTATCAATGCATCCATCCGTTTTAGTAACGTAAATGTCACATTAAAAAAAATTTTCTTGATTTCATTCATCCATCTAAAATATGAGCAAATTTCATCGAACATTTAAAGTCAAAATAACCGAAAGAATAGTCTTCTTATTTGAAAAAGATTTTCCTTCTGAATAGATACCATATATGAAGAGACTAACTTCTTTACTCAGATATAACAAAGATTAATCTTCTTTGTGAGGCCTTTTCCACTTTCAAAAAGAAATCAGGAATAAAATCCTGTTTTCTTAGCTATAATCTAATTGGAAATCTTGAGTGATATTTTGCTATTGTATATTTAAAAAATTCAACGAAGACGATATCTATCCATAGCAAAATTGAATTTGTTGTGTCTTCCAGTATCAGATTATCTAACTCTACGAAATATTAGAACTTTTTCCATCAGATCAGAAATAGTTTTTTTTTTTTTGATGTATGACTCAATTTGATAGAATCAACTGAGTTTACTGTAGGAATTTTCTAAAGTAAAGACAAGAATTATGACTGATACCGATTCAAAATAAACAATCTACACATTTGCAAATGATAGCACCGAACTTAGTGTAAAATGATATAGTCTGATTTAAAACCTTCTTGATTTACTAGACGAAATAAAATACTACGCTAAAGTTTCACACCTCGGTTGAAAAATCTTATCTACGAAAGTAAACATTCAGAAGAAAGTCGATTTCTTCGATGTATTGAACATCTTGTTTTCTTCTTCTCTTTGTATGAAAATTAAAAACTAAAGTAGTAGTATGAATAATACTAAATAAAATAATAAAAGTGAGAGTGTGACATCCGTTAATGAGTACTTTTAGCACTTATATATTTGATAACGAAATCGAATAACCAGCATTCAAAATTTCTATTCTGTGTTCACTTTCATTAACATTGCACGAAAATGTCGATGATACCTGCCTGTAAGCCATTGTAAAAACAGATTTTGTGCATTCACAACGGAACATAAACTCTTTTCCATTTTTGAAACACTTAATGCACCATTTTTCCAAATCATAAACGAAAAAATTGTTCATTATCTTCGTCATATACGAAAAAAAGAGTTTATGTCCCGTTTTAAACTCATAAACCCTGTCTCCATTTTCTTCATTATCAAGAACATTTTTTTACAGTGATCTCCGGATTCATTTGGCTTGATGATAGTGTGAATGATAAAGGGTTTCAAGAAACAGAACAAAAGTTCGGCTCTATTACTAATCATTTGGAGAAATTTCAAGATGTAACACAATGTCAGAAATATATTGAAGAGCAATCACAGAACGATCGACTAGTAATTATTGTTAGTGGTCGATTGGGAAGAGAAATAGTGCCTTCTATTCATGAGCTTCAACAAATTATGTCGATTTATGTGTACTGCATGAATAAAAAAAGTAATGAACAATGGGCTTGCAAATATAAAAAAGTAAAATTAAATTGAATGAATTTGATTGCATTTTATGATTTCCTGTCTATAGGTAAAAGCTGTTGTTGTTCAACTTGATGAACTTATTTCTCAAATTACGACTGATCATAACATTCAGAAAACGATGGAGAAACCATGGTCAACAACTAGTGTTACTGCACGTGCTGACGCAGGTAACTCAAAGATATGCCTGTATGGTCGCTTTCTTTTTTTTTTACAAGAGTGGATGTGAGTATTTTTATTAGCACTAGTTAAACTGACATCAACACCCATAACCACGTCTATCGACATCAGTTTTAACTGGTAAAATTTAAAGTAGAACTTCAACTTTAGCTTTTAAAGCAACGCTAAAGTGTTAACTGGATTATTCTCCAAGCCAGAGTTTCACTAATTCGTACCCTCAGAATGGTTAATCAGTCAATGATGGTGTGAGTGCGGGTGTGGGTATCCTCGTTAGTTTCAATGAGATTGCGGATGTAGATGTGAGCGACGAATATATCAAAACACACATAGACACTCGTATATACCCCACATCCTCAGTTACTTACTATAGTGACGTCATGGTTTGTGTAAGAGAAGAAGTTTCACAAAATCAACCATCTTCTGGTTTCTTTTTATTCCTCTTACTTTTGTCTCAGTCATGTGTTCACAGCAAAGATGGCTCACAGCTTATAAAGTCACAAAATTCTTTCTCTTGAAAAAAAAAGGCGTCCTTTGTGTCCATTTAAGCAAGAAGAGATTAAATATGAACAAAGAAGAAATTCTTCAATAGTTTCTACCTTCACAAGTAGAAGTTGAAAATAACTTGAGAGCAGATAATAATCCTATCACTTTTTCACCGTAACGAATAGACGGCTATTTGAACGGAAGCGTACGAAGAAGTATCGTGAATGCTAGAAATATGTATATGCTATTGTTCTATTTCTTCTTGATATGCATGACTTGAGACAGAAAGGAGCATGTCTCCGTAAGTGCGAACAATTCTCCCATTGATGGATCCTATTACACACTGGTATGCATTTCTTTCGGTCATGGAATATTTTGAATCTTTCAATTTTTTGGGTGTAATTGTGAGTGTGTATCTTCTCTTTGCTTCCAGTCCCACCCAATACTCACGTTCTCTTCTAATTTATCAATAATCACATTTTCTTCAACAGGAAAGCTTGACAATGTGGGCGATGATGAAGTATTAAAATCAGCCAAGGATGAAATAATACGCGCTCTTGACTTGGAAGAATATGAAATAAAAGATACAATTATAAATGATTTGTTAGAAAATGGTCGACAATCGTTGTCTAAGTATGAGAAATACCTTCTACCAGACGTCTATGAAGCAGCAATAAATGAAAACCATGGAAAACTGATGAAATACCTGAAAAAATACTCTGAACAACAATGGGAAGTAAAATATGGTTCTTCAAATCAATGGTTTATCTTATTTTTAAAAGAATATAAAGATGCTGTGAATTATGATTCTGTTCTGAAACGTGCAGCTGAATATGGCAATAAATACTTGAAAGATTGCCCTATCTTATCAATTGTTTTGCAACTTCTATTTGAAGGTATTGATGACACATGTATGGATGAAACAAATGTATTCAATGATCTATGGTGTACAATAACTGATAATGGTTTAAAATCTATAGGAAATTTTTCTGATAATAAAAAGCGATCGGTCTTATTTCAAGCGTTACGTGAATATTATCGTCCAAAATTATTTGAATTATTAGAAAAAAGTCAAGTCAAAGACAAAGACAGTTTGTATGAATTAGCGTTAGATAATGTTGCTGAATATGGTTGGTTACAAGGTTTACAAGCAGTTCGAAAGAGAATAATACCGATATTTTTTGAAACATTACTAGAGAATATTCCTGTATCTGGTGATACATCTGGAAAGTCAGGTAAACTTGATTTGATCGAATACCTTGTTTGTATATTCCTTTAAAACGCAAATATCGTTATAATAGAAAAAGTTCCTTCAGAGAAAGTTGACAATTCAGTTTTCATTTGTGAGTTATTTTTGTATTGCGCAATTCCAATTGACGATATGTGACATCATGATTTTTTGAATCTGGTGTACCCCCAGAGACTCGAAGAAAAGTTTATTTTTATCTCTATATCTCAAAGCACACGGATATATCATTTGCCGTATGTTGATCACAAATATGATAGTTGCAATGAATAAAACTATATTTCTTATGCAGCAATATCAGCACAATAAGATCTCCCGTGACGATGCTCTTGAGACTTTTGAATCTTTGAGTTACACTATAAAAGACAATTACTGGCAAAACAAAAATAATTTTCATGTGTACCCGAAAATCTTTTGTATCGAATTTTAATACAAAAGTAAGCCCTTATTTTCCAAAAAGTAGTAGTTTCTTGGACAACTTCGTCAGAGGTGTCGAGGAGCAAGGAGTCTGAGCTGGTGAGTTAATTCTATATGTTTCGCATTTTGATAGATTTTTTTGTGAAATAGTCAATAGAAATTGATTCTGAGTTCTCAATTTGGATACTCTCTGACCAAACTTTATCAGTAGTCAGTATTTTTCCAAGAAATACTTTTTCTGTTGAAAAGTTCAAATCAATTAAATCTTTATGGTACCTTACTCAAGATAGGACAACTTGCTTTCCGTAATAAGTAAACTGTGAACAATACAGATTCATTTTCGTTCAATTAGATTTGCTTTTATTTTCTACTAAAATAATTATTTTTTGATATCAAGATATGGCTCTGTAAGAAATCAAGAACGATTGATCAATCAGGACATATGAAGGGGGAAAAGCTGAAGTTTTGGTTGTTATTAATAGATTTTTCTGTTCACTCATATTCTTTCATAGGACGATAATTCTATGAAAATGAAAAAAAATGAGTGAACTCTATTATTTACTTATCAGTGTAAGATGTTAAAAAGTCAAATTTAGGATAAGATTTAATATGTGACGAAAACTTAATGGATTTTTGGCAACATTTCTTCTTTTTCTCTTATTGCTATGTTTAAACAATGTGGAAGTAATTGATTCTGATTAAGTATCCAATATTGAATAGAAAAATGTGATTTGATAGAGTTTTAAAATTAGTAAAGTTAACAAATCCTGCCCATTGTTGATTGACGTGAGCATACACCTTGAGTGAAAGTGAAGTGAAAATCTGTCTATGGGTTCCCACAGTTGATCATTCTTAATGCTGGCTACGTGGTTCAAAAATCAAATAGTTGATAATGAATAGTATCTGGTGTACAGGTTCTTGATAAGTTTCTATGATATCTCAAATCTGAGAGGAATGTCCCTAAGCTAGCAATTACGTATATACACATTCACCGAACGGAAAGGTGCATTTTATCTTCATTAAGCGAGCTACAAATGCGCTAAATTTGAAGAGGTGTGCTAACGCAACTCTACGGAAAATAATTGAACGAAAACTGATTGCAAAATTCGTACCTAGCGAACGAAATGCTTTTTAAACTAAAACGTTCAACTTAATTGATTAAGCTAAACACAGAAACAGATGTGAATTGTGTGTGGCCACGTATGGATGTGGGTCTTCTATTCACACACCCCCAGAGTAGTCTCATCATCTTCTATGTACAATACGAACGATTACTTATTTTTTAGTTCAACCAAAAGTGGAAGCTCCAATATCAGAAAACAATCAATCATGCGTATTTGGCCAAGATACTCAGATGTCATGGAAGTTCAATGGCATCGGGAAGCTACGAGTGACATGGTTCTTCAAGGATCAACCATTTCCAGTCAATGATCGCTTGCAAATAACGGAGACTGATGATGGAACATCGACACTAAAAATTCGTCAAGCTGAATTTGCTGATCAAGGTGTCTATACTGCTAGGGCAGCCAATGCTTTTGGTGAGACTAAAGCTCAAACAACATTAAAGGTTCATTGCATTACGCCTGTCATCAACGTTAATCTCAATAATGCACTGAAAGTCACAAAAGGTGAAACCATGACACTCAAAATCGTCGCCAGTGGAATACCGAAACCTCACATTGTCTGGATGAAAGGTAACGACGAACTTACACCCAATGATCACATTCAAGTGACAACACCAATTGGTAACGATGACAAATACACACTGACCATCTTAAATGTACAACCAGAAGATGAAGGAGAATATTCAGCCAAGATCTCCAATATGGCTGATTCACTCACATCCAATAAGTGCAAAGTCATTGTTTCGAGTAAGTCACCTTGACTATTCTTGTTCTTGGATACATATGCCCTTGTAGAATCACCTATGTTTATTGTCAAGCCGACGACACAAAAAGTGAGACAAGGTGAGACAGCAGTATTCGTCTCGAATGTTGATGGATATCCAACACCAATTATCACATGGCTCCTCAATGGAAAACTGTTGACAGAGAAAGAAAGCGTTGAAGTGCAATTCTATGCTACGGCTGATCAAGCGAAGTTGTCCATCCAAAATGTTGATCTAGAACAACATGCTGGTTCAATTACTTGTCGAGTGGAGAATGAATATGGCGAGCAAGAAGAAACTGTTCGACTTGATATTCTTGTTGCACCAACAATCACCGAAGACTTGCAGAAACAACAAGAAATTATAAGTGGACGGGATATCGCATTGAAAGTCGTTGGAAAAGGATCTCCACGACCATTCGCTCAATGGTTTTTCGAGGACCAACACATTGACTGGGAGAATGCGTCGGAAGACGAAGCGAAGAATGAATATCAACTAGTGATCAAACAGGCAACAACGAGAAAGAATGAAGGAACTTATCGAATTGTCTTGAGGAACGAGGTGGGTGAAATACAATCAACTCCATGTGCAGTTACAGTATTGGAACCAGTGAAGTTGACCCTACTGGCACCAACATCGAATCTAGTTGACTTGAAAATTGGCGAAAAATTCGAGATCATCGTGGATGTGAGTGGCAAGGAAACACCAAAAGTTCAGCTGACAAAAGATGGAAAAGCAGTACCGTTCACAAGCGAGGGAACAACACGATACACATTCTCAGTGACTAATGTAAAACAAGAAGATCAAGGTGTTTACATGGTGACAGCAAAGAATAAAACTTCAACTGAAGAGACGGCTGTCATTCTCAATATTACTGGTGAGTTTGCTTGCATTTCAAAAACAAATTTCGCAGCTTAACCATTCTGTACATTCCCATGAGATGGTTACTTCTTGAGTGTCCTTTGCTGTCATTGCTTAGTGAGTGCGATGATAAGTTTTGTCATATGCATGAAAACTTCCTCTTTTCGTGTAAACTCGAGCGAAACCCTGTAATTGCTATTTTTTTTCATTCATATTCACGCGTAACACTTTCTTTTTAAAGTTCACTATTTATGATTTGCATTAGATTAACATAGCTAAGACAACAATTTTTCAAAGATTCGTCCAAACATAATGCAGTTTAATAATGCGTCTCTAAGTTGTTTAGAAAATTTTAAATTTTCTCTTACAATGGAAGATTTCGTACTTTTAGTAAAGGACATTAGACATATACGGATCCAATTGAAGCTCTTAATGTTAAACTAATAAATTTAAAATACGCGCTGCCCAAGGCATTTATCTTTCTTTTTTTTTGTAGTGGCTAGATGAGGTGTGAGCGCAAGTGGGTTTTGGTTTGGATAGGTCTTCTCTTCATCCACATCTAAACTAGGGATGCAACGGTGACGGTGGTCACCGGTGTGATCGGTCTACGGTTCACCGTTCACCGGTCTCACCGGTCCGCCGGTTCACCGTTCACCGGTTTCACCGGTCCACCGGTGCACCGTACCAACCGGTGATACCGGTGGACCGGTCACCGGCGTAGCGGTGCACCGTTCACCGTTCCACCGGCATACGAGCACCGTAAGCACCGCTCATAATATACTACAAATAAAGCTACTCAGTTGAAACTGAGTCCAATTAAAAGTGAAACTGACCATCTCTTAATCGAGAAGAGCACATATATTTGATATTCGTCTACTTTCTGTAATTTATCGGCATACTTCACAAAATTTAATAAAATTTTTTTGTATGCTGATCGCTCCTTCAATACGATGCGGACCGTAGGCGTACGCCAGATAACATTAGGATGTTCATATAGCTGATACTCGTTAGCGCAAGGCTATCTGAGTATGAAAGATGCTTATACAAAAAACTTAGGTATGCCGCGTCAACAAACACTTTTAAGGTCAACAATAGCTGTTAAAATATCAGGAATGTACGGTGATCGCCGGTTTATAACATTCTATTGACTCATCAAGCTTAGGATAACCAGCAGTACGCTTTTAATGTCCGCCACCGGAAGTTTTCTTGACTCTATCGGTGCCATAACCGGCATGATTATCACATTCATCAATGAAGAAAATTTTCATCTGCTATAGTGAGCAGATCTAAATTACGTGTTTTTACGCACTACCATTAATCCTAATCATGTTGGTTCGGAGAGCGGAGACCTTCAGTAGCAGATAGCTTCTAATATTTCACAGACTCACTGAAGACCAGAGGAACCAGTAATGGTAAACTAGTTATCACTATCGTATGATTTCGTGAATCTGTCAGTCGTCTAACTAACGTCGTAGACAGTCTCTGGAAAAAGTTTTCACATGATGTATCGCCGCGTACTCAAATATATAGTTTTGTACATCATGATGAAATTTTGAAATGCTGGTCAGAGAGCAGGAACCTAGAGCGATGACCGCTTTGAAGCATTCGACAAGCTTATTGATGCTCAGAGTAATCAGTAATGCCCTTGCAACCATCATCACCGTAGGTTCCTGTGACAATATCGGTCATAAAACTGGCATCGCTATCATACTGATTTAGGAAAAAAGCTTTCATATACGATAATGCATCGCTGTAAATCATATACTTTTAAGGGTTACCATGTAGTCCTAGAATGCCCGTTACTAGAGCGGAGACCCACGGTGATAGATGGTTTCTAGCATTTTCAGATTTATGAAGCCTCAGGGTAACCAGCAGTGTCCATTTACTCACCATCACTGTAGACATTGGTCACCCTATCGATTCTATTATTAGCTTTGTAGTCATGCACATCTTGGAAAAGATTTTTTATTATCGGTCTTGTCGTACACTCAGTTGTCTCTCTGTAAGTTCACCTATTCGGAATTTCGCCAACAGTGCACTCACTAGTGGCGAATTTCCCTACGACATTCGCCAATAGGTGAATCTCTAGTATGAAATTTATCAAAAAATATTTATTTTTGCCTTAGTATGTTTACCAATGGGCGACTGTCATGGAGAAATTTGCCAATTTGGCGAATTCCCAGTGTGAAATTCGCCAATAAACTTTTTTCGTCATAATGTATTGATCAATTCGCGAGTCGCTAGTGTGCATTTCGCCAAATTTAATCCGTAGAATTATGGCCCAGCTAAATTGATGATAGAATATTTAAGTATTATAGGATGTGTATGGATCGTGGGTATGAGTATAGGTTAAGCGCATATACAACCCTCAGACTCGCACCCGCACCGATATCCACATCAAGTCAGCTACAACTAGACCATTTTTCGTTAGTATATTCGCCAATTAGCGAATTTCAGCCAGTTGGCGAAAAGGAAGATTGGCAATCATATAATTCCTCCAATCGACGTTACAGTTTTGACTGTCAACATGAATGCTAATAATGGAAATTAGAGAGTGGAAACCTATGAGTACGGCAGATTGAAAGAATTTTATTGGCTAGTTCAGGCTCAACATAACAGACAATATTCGTCTAGCAGCCACCACTGTAGGTCTTCATTTTTATACCGACTACCTCGTTAGCCTGATAATTATATTCCTGCATAAGTGTCTCGAATGCGACTACACTCTCAAATCAAGAATACGGTTTCAATCCTAGAGTTTAAGGCGAGCATGGCAGGTAAGAATATTAGGAGCTCACTAATATGGTCGATTTTGATCATTTTTCAGGCACCTACATGCTTGCATCAATCATTGGTGCTGTTACATCAGAGATTGGCATAAGTTTTCATGGTTCCGCTGACCCTTTTCTTAATTGAATCACAGTCATCAAGTATGAAGGAAACGCTTTATGTGTTATAGTACCGTCTAGTAAGGAGTATAGCTTCGACTATCGCTATGAATGTTAGTGAGACAACGATGACGATAACCTTAGGTATAGTTACGGGTTCACTATGTGAACCATTGGTACGGTTATTGCTACAACTAAGAAAACCGTACCTACGATTTCAGAGTCAATTATGATAACCATAGGTACAATTATCAGTTCTAGAGGGCTTTCTTGAAATATAGTATTTTGTAACACACTAGCAAATTCCTATGAAAGTTGAAGAAAGATGACTATGATCAGAAAATCTGGATCTGAATTCAAATTTTAGAAATGGTAAATTTGACTTCGGACACTAAGGAAAGGCTTTTTAAGAAGATGCTGATATTTAATAAAGAGTAACGAAAGTGAATGGATTTCCAGAAGCTTGAATCTGATATCAATTTATCAAGGTTCTACGTTCTAATTATCAATAAAATGGTTCCTTGATGAATGCTATAGTTTTTTAAGTATTAGAGTCGAATGCGTCAAGTTGCATTTCCCTTCATCAACCTATCAAGGAAATAGTTACTTTCATAATAAACACTCACTTAATCTAAAAACTTCAGTTTGAAATATTCAAAGACTGACTTTGAGTTCAGACTCTCCAGCGCCTGTTTACTTTGCTAACCTTTATAAAAGCCGTACTCTCTTAAAAGTGTTGTTTTTCGTGGCGCTCATTTTGATCTAATAACTGTGCCTAGGAGGATCGTAGGTAGACCGGTAGCTGTAAGTGCAGTTATCGCAATTGGACTATCAGTCGTACCTATGATACTCCTAGCTTGACAACTAACGGTAAAAACAGTTATTGTACTTGGATCGGTATCCGTAGGTATGCTTATCGTAGTTATACCGGTGACCATACGCATGGTTATATAATCTTGTTGATAACTATCAATGCGGCAATCATAATTGAAGTGGTAACCGTAGATGCATTTATCGTAGCTGCACCAATAGATTTACTTCCAATAATCGTAGTTTGGCGAGTAACCATAACTTAGATGATAGTAATTAGATTGGTAAGCATAGCTACGGCTGTTGTAGTTAGATTGATAACTCTAGTATCCGTGATGATAGTTAGATCCGTAACCGTATATAAAGTGATCTTAGATGTACCAGTAACCATTAGTACGATTAGCGCAATTGCATCGAAAAACCTAGGTACAATGATTGCAACTGTAGCAGCAACCATTGGTATAGTTATCGGTTTTCACCAGTGAAATGACCTACACCGTTGTATGTCTAGTCAATATCAATACTGTCCATATAGAACTACGAAAATTTGCGATGATAACCGGTTTCCGCTACCCATGTAAAAAAAAAGTAGGCAAAAACCAACTATTAAGTACTTTCAAAAGTAGATTTTAAACAGGAAAAAGTACTTATAAGTGAACCTTTTTAAGTACTTTTCATACTTTTTGACTAAAAAGTACTATTAATTACTATTGAAAGTGTGAAAAAATAATAAAACTCACTTAGAAAAGTGAAAAAAAGTAATAAAAGTTAATTTATTTTTCTGTATTAATATTAAAAGTACTAAATAGTATGTTTTATTTCAGAAAATACTATTAGGTACTTTTAATATTAATACAGAAAAATAAATTAACTTTTATTACTTTTTTTCACTTTTCTAAATGAGTTTTATTATGTTTTCACACTTTCAATAATAATTAATAGTACTTTTTAGTCAAAAAGTATGAAAAGTACTTAAAAAGGTTCACTTATAAGTACTTTTTCCTGTTTAAAATCTACTTTTAAAAGTACTTAATAGTTGGTTTTTGCCTACTTTTTTTTTACATGGGTATTACTCAGACAACAGAAGACTGAATGCTTCCAGTAGTACTAATATGCCAGTCTCCATTATGGCCTTTTACAACCTTATCAGCTCGATTCTCTGTTTAACGCCAAAGTTTTGATCAATATTCCCCAAAATTAATTAGGACGAGGGATCACTTCTTCTAAGAAAATTAAGTACTCGAGTTACTGAGATGTACCGTATAGGAGAGACACCGAAATACAGAAAAGTGACCGGTGCACCGGTCCCACCGGCTCACCGTACCCCGGTGCACCGTCCACCGGTCTCACCGGTCCACC